GATTTTAGCTTGACTGGTTGATTTGAATATAAAACTTAGTCCTTGAATCTTTGCATTACTGCAGGTCTGACACTCTTTCTCTCACTGAAGGAATACTTGCCCAGTGTTAGAGCTGAAGACCTCATGTGAAGCTGCTCAGTGTGTAGCAAGTCTGATACAGTTTCAGGTGTTTCAGAAGAGGTTTTTAAAATATTAATCACTTCATTAGTGTGGGGAGGATCTTGTAGGCGTGTGGTGTTAGAAGGAAGATGTCCAAATCATGCTTGGAGAGGTGGAGATTCCTGTCAAGCAGCAGCACCCAGGCTGGGGATTCCTCCATTCCCAGCTTTCCTGTTCTTCCCAAACACAACAGCATTGTTCCAGTTTTTACATTTTTACTTTCTGATCAACCTTAATTTTGCCAGTGAACAACATCCCTCGTAACTCTGAATATCTTCTCTCTCCCTTTTGCTACAAAGCTCTCTACGTCTTTGAGCAGTGTTTTATCTCCACTTTTGGCAGGGTCTTTCTCTAGAAGTTTGATTTGCCCTGTACCTGCTTCTGCCAGTCTGCCTTAACTTCTGCATGCTTGCAGCTGCCATTGTTTTGGGTTTCCTTTGCAGGGAGGGGCTGAAAATACAGGAATTCATTAGAAAATAAAAGATCTACTCAAGCCAGAGTTCTTAAGAGAATAATAATGTGGTGTTGATGTACCAAGTGGCTGCTCTTATTGTGCCTCTCAGAGCACGACACTGGAGTCAAAGCATGGAAGGAGTGTGAGGATGAGGACGTAGGAGGAAGCAGTGCTCATCTCAGTTGGGTGAGCTAATCTAGATCCAGACACGTTTTCCAATGCTGAAGCTCAGTATGCCAGCTTCATTGCTCTGTTCTTTGGCAAACTTGACTTTCACGGGTAGGTTGTGAGTGTGTCTGTGTGTGCTGGCTCAGCCCGGAGGTTCACATCACTGTTTTTGATCTGATGGATAGCAAATGCTTTGTGAGGACTGTACATGCAGGTAAGCCTTCCACAGTCATACTCCTTGAGCGTTTTGGTTCTTGGGGGCTGCTTTGAACTGGGGTGTTCAGAGCCACCAGTAGACCTGCCCTCTGCGAATCTGTGTTAACATGTTCCTCAGTGTAACTAACTCCTGTGAAAGTGGATTTTTAATCTGGCAGCAGAAGAATCGCTGTGGCCACCTTTAATTCTGTTTTCAAGGAAATAAAGGCTTCCTCTTGGCTTTTCCCATACATCTTATGATCTTAGCCATATAATAAGCCGTCATCCAGCTGTCATCCCTTTCCCCATACAGACTTTCTCCCAAGTACCCTGATGGGCATTAGTTGTGTACGCCTCAGTCTGCTTCTCTATTAAATATTGAGTCCACTAGAAGACTTCAAATAGACCAGGAATGTGCAGCCTATCAGTGCAGTGAGGCAGAGGCTCAAATTTCCCCTTTGCCTATGAAGCAAACCCAACCTGTCTTGTGGTTTGGGCTCTAAGGAATAGACTGTATTTACAAAAGCAGCCACTGAAGATACAAGCTACTCTTGGAGGACTTCTTGCACAGGTAAATGGAGCAGAATAATATAGATCCTTCCTGGAAAGTAACTACTTTGAAGTTGTCAGGACATTTCATAACTGAACAGAATAGGGTAGCACTTGAAGTGGCCAGGTAAGTCCCCTTTTCTTCTGTGCAGACTGAGATTGCTGGTGATGCAGGATTTTTTTTTGTGTGTGTGTGTGTGTGTTTGTGTTTTTTTTAATACTTCACCCAGAATTTCCAGCAACTGAAATTCAACCTGCTGTGACTGGCAGTGCCACGGATCATCACGTAACATCGAGCACGTGAGAAGTTCCCACATCTGTCTGCTGCAAATTGGGGAAAATCCCCAACTTGTGGAGCCTGACCAGCTGTCCTCATGCAGCCATCTACTCCTGACTGGCCCTGCCTCAGAGCTGATCCGTTCGGGCTGAGAACCCAGACTGGTTTCTGCAGTTTCCTGGAAGCTCAGCACTAGCACAGAACCAATTACAGGGGCTGTTGCAAACCCAACAGCATTTTACCTCTTGTACAGCACTGGTCCTGTAGCACTCAGCCCACTTCTAGTATTAATAGATTACGATGTCTTTAAGTCTCAGCCTCTGCCTGGCTGTTGCTTTTGGTGACAGCGTTCTCGTGTTGCCTGTCGTGCCCTTTCTGCCCACTCCTCATCTCAGAGTGAGCTGGACCAAAACAGATGCACAGATGCCAGCAGCAGTAAATTCATGCCGTGTCTGCTTAAATCTTCCATTATCTGCGTATTATCCATGGATACGCTTGAGGGCAGGGCTGCCATTCAGCAAGGCTAAGGCAGGCTGGAGGAAGGGGCTGACAGAAGCCTTGTGAAATTCCACAAGGATAAACGCAAAAGTCCTGTACCTGGGAGGACTAACCCTTTTGGCCCTGTGGGTCCTGGTGGGCAGCAAAGCCGAGCGTGAGCCAAGGGAGACCAGCAGCATCCCAGGCTGCACAAACAGGAGCACAGGCAGCAGGTTTTGAGGGATGCGGTTGTCCCCCTGCTGCTCAGCAGTTGTTAGACCACATCTGGAGGATTGGTACAAGCAAAGAGTCGATGAAACTGGAGTGAGTTCAGCAAAGGGCCACTGAATATGGTCCAAGGGCCTGAGCACTTTTCCTATGGAGAGGCTGAGGGAACTGGGCTTATTTGGCCTGGAAAGGAGGTGGCTGTGGAGGGACCTATCAGAAATACCCAGAAGGAGGTCATCCAGAAGACAGGGAGGCTCTTCTCTAAGAGAAAGAGAGACATAAGCTGGAACTTGAGAGGTTTTGACTGGGTATAAGGAGGTCAAGAACTGAAAGAGATTGTACAGGGAAGTGGTGCAGTCTCCATTCCTGGCACGTTTGGAGATCAGTCAGGTCTTGACAAAGCCTTGAGCAACCTGGTCTCATCTTAGAGCTGACCCTGCTTTGAGACTTCCCGAGGTCCCTTCCAACCCCAGTTATTCTGTGACAGAGATAACTTCAGTCCTTCCACAGCCTGTTGCTGCTGAAGGGAAGGCGAATGGGCCACGCTGAGGAACATCCAGCTTAGCTTATCTGCAAAAGGGAAACCGGTCACTGGAGCTCATGTGTACAGGACGTGGTCACCTTGAGTTACCCACAAAAGCATGCCATGCACTTTTAGGAGATGTCCCACCTTTTCGTTCTTCTTTAGGCTGTTGACGGGAGGCGTAAGGATTCCAAAGGGCTTCCTCAAAACCACCTCTTCACCATGGCCAAAGCAGAAAATATTTTGTTAATAGTGGGAACGAAAGAGGGCATTAAAGGTGAAATGTACACAGCGTTTCTAGTTTGGTGTTGCTCTTTAATATAGAGGGATAGAAATGCCATGATGTGTGCTGCAGGCCACTGATCAGCGATGGAGTGTGTCCAGGAATAAATTTCCAGAGTTCTTTTTCCTTTGTAAATGTTAGAGAAATCTGAATGTTTCTGTAGAGCTTCATATCTGCTGCTTGCAGCTGTGCTAGTCTTGTTCCTGGAACAAGCAGCATCAGGTTGGCTCATGGACCTCTTGTGTGACCAGGAGCTCCTCTATTACGTTTTCATGGTTTGATGCTTCGGACTCCCTGTAAATTTAAGGTGGTTCAGCACCTCTGCCACAGATCTCCAGGACTGCACGAAGCCAGTGGGAGAGAGCAAGCATGAGAGCCCTCAGGCAGAGGTACCTGTACAGGCATCAAGTACTGACAGCTCCCAAAGAACAGGGTTTGCTTCTGATGTCCAGAGCTATTTTAAAATGTAGATTATTATTCTCTTAGGTCATAAATTGCCAAGCATTCAGGCATAGACCAGCCCACTGATTCATCTCTGAGGCTGCTCTGTCTCGTATCAGCTTGGAACTACTGGTGGGCCCGTATGATTCTACCTCTGGCCAGAGGGTGCTTGCTAAGAGCTGTAACCCACCTGTTTCAGGCAGTAGCTTGTGAGACAGTGCAGTTTCTTGACACCCTAGAAAATGGAAGTAACAGATATCAATAAAATATTCCTCAAAGCGCTTGTTCTGATGCTGAACATGTGAGAGTTAATAATGTTTGTGCTGAGGCATTGACTTGGTCCCAAATCCAGAGCTCCCACTTTCTTGGCTTTAACAGCCAGTGTGGCTGTGATGCTTTTTATGTATGTTCAGAACCTTTTCTTTTTTTTGTTCGAGGGTTCTGTCATCACACTTTATTTCACATAATTCCCCAGGGTTTGGGGTGGAATGAGCTCTTCTGAAGGAAGCCTTTACTACAATCCATGCCTAATAGCTGCTTTTCTAACTAAAATACTGTACCTTTATGTAAGTGTGTAAAAGTAAATGTAATTGGATTATGCAAAATAATCTCTTCAAATGAGGTTTTAAAACGTCAATCAGCACGTTGTAGGTATCCAAAGCTGGATGATTCTAACAGTTCCTTTATGCAGCTGAAAAATAAAGGGTCTCTTACCGAGCTGATATGGAAGGAAGACATATTGGAACCCTCCTCACATCAGAACAGGGTTTTTAATAGCAGAAGTTTCTGCAGAGTGCGATTTTTAACTGTATGATTTCAGTTCTCCCATTACATTAATCCATTAGGCTTTGTGGCAGCTCTCTTTCATCAGGTGCTCTAACTTTGATGCCTTGTTATTCTGGCGCAATTTGTTTCCTGCGCCTTCATTTAGGTTGCTGTCAAATGTCTTTTTAGTGGGGATTCACTGAAAATGTTGGGTTTTGACTGCGAGTGTGACCTTCAGCTTGGTTCTTGTGCTGATGTTTTTGAGAGATGACACACGGCTCTTCCTGAAGGAAGCATGTTGACTTTGGGGAGATGAAAAGACATTTCCTTTGGTGTTTGGAGCATGTGTGGAGCTGGCTGTTGTGCACAAGCTTTTTTTTTTTTTCCCCCTCACTGCTCAGAAAACAGCTAGACCCTCTTTTTCTCTTCTTGATTGCCTTCCCGTGTGTCTCATGATCATGTCTCTTCACTACTCTCGCAGGTCAGATGCCGGGGCCTGGTTCGATGATGCCTGGACAGCCCATGCCAGGCCGGATGATGCCAAGTGTGTCAGCCAACATCCATCCAGCCAGCAGTGGTCCCCCCCCACCCGGCATGTCACCCATGTCAGGAAATCTCATTGGACCTCGTGTTCCTCTAGCAGCTCCAAATGGCATGTGTAAGTGGATCTGCAGCAGAAAACGTTTTGAATATACCTGGCGTGCCTTTTCTGTCGCTTGCCTTGTTGCTGGAAAAGTTATTGTAGTTGAAACCTTTATCTGCTGCAGGAACAATCGGATCTGTGCACATTGGCAGGCAAAGACCAGTGCCAGAGGTGTGCTTGAAGCTTTAAGTGTTTGTCTCCCCTCTAGGCATCCAAACGTAGTCCACTGTCCTTTATTTATAACATCCCTTATTTATAATGACACTAAGGCTCTGCGGTCATCATCAAAAACCTCTCCTGCCTTAGTCTGGAAGAATGCTCAGTAGAGGTGCAGGAGTTACAGCTAAATCCGTAAATAGTGGAGGTCAGAATATAATTCAGTTCAACAGTGCCTTACAGAAAACTTAACACCGTGACATTAAAAGGAGGAAGTTTTAATTAGGAAGAAGCAGACATATATTGGGAATGTTCCTTACAGGGTAAAAATACCTACACCTCCAAAAATTAAGTTGATTTATGCCAGCCAAAAAAAGTACGCAGCTGAAGTCAGTAGCCCCTGTGTGGGTGTTAATGTGAATGAGAGTGAGAGTGTGACCAAACCCAGAAAGCCAAAGAAAAGCTGGCCTGGCTGGTCATGAATTCCTCAGTAAATCTGTCTGTATTAGTTGCAGCCTGGGACAAGCTGCTGGTCTGCTTCAGCGCAGCAGTCTTACCCCAAAAAAATGTTACATAGCCTGTCACCGGCCAGGCAGGAACTGTGATCGCTTGTAGTACCTCTCCCCCAAAAAATAATTGGGGAAAGCCATCCCATTTTGACTTCAGCTGAGCGGAGCTGCTGAGGAGTATTGACTCATCAGCCTAAGCATGAAATACTCCATTCTGATGCTATTTTAGTTCAGACATTTGCTCCTTATTCGTCTGGTGCTCTAGCTTTCCTTAGTTTTCCTTCCCTTTTTCTGAATCTCTACCGCTGGGAATATCTTATGTCAGGTTGTATTCCTGCTTGCTCTCTTCCCTTCTCTTAATTTCTTCTTTATTTATCCACTACTAAACAAGTCCGTCATGTTCCATTAACATCTCCTCTCTGTGCCTGAAAGCTGGCCTTTTGTATCCTTCATTTCTTTCCTCCTACTTGCTGCATCTGTGGATTCCTCTACTTTAACCTACATACGCTGTTCAGAGCTTAAGTGCAGACTCTGTTTATATAAAGGCTATTGTTCCATCTATTTTAAATAGAGAAGAGCCATAATCTAAAGGCTGGAACGTGGAGCTGGGAGATGAGAAATGCTGATTCCAGCTCAGAAAGTTGCTTGACGTGAACTTTGCCAGCTACTGAGGTGCATGCCTGTCATCTTTTCTGTGAAAACCGGGGGAATTTTTTTCCACTTTCACAAAGTCCACACAGTGCTTAGTGGTTGAAAAGCACAATAAAACATTCAGTGGAGCTTCATGTGAAGCTTAAGAGACAGGGAAGCTGCAGTTGTGGCCATTTCTGGGGACAGTCCTTGCTGCTTTCCCCTCGGACAGCTGCATCTCCCTTGGTTTATAGACATCTGGGTGTTAGTGTTGGGTTCCTTTTCCATGTTCAGCCTCTCCTGCTGTCCTGCTCACTGTTTCTCTGCTGGTTTTTTTTGCAGATCCCCCTCCTGCACAGCCACCTCCACCAGCAGAAGGGGTGACCCCACCTCCAGCAGGAGCCCCGCCGGCCTCAGCCGCTCCCTAAGCAGCCAAGGAAGAAGGAACTTCTACAGCAACATCGTGGTGACCAAAAATGAATTCCTCAGTTCCCTTCTGTTCCCCTGGGAGGTCATCCCCTCCTGTTGGTGCCCCGGTCGTGTATGTGTGCCTACACATAGACATATACAAGCACAGATAAACAGTCATCTTTTTTCCCCCCTCCCCACTGCTCAAATCTGGCAGTACTTGGCATTCCTTTGGGAAAGCTTTAGATCAAAGATGCCAGTAGTGCCTCCATGTTGCTGGCAGGAAGTCCTTCACGCCTTGGTCTGCTTCCCTTTTGACTCCTGCTCAACTCTGGTTTTGTTCATCTTGGTGTTTTGAGCTTTGTGTTCTCCTGGGGAGGATAAAAAAACAAAACAAAACAAACCACACAAAGCTTTTAAGGTGGAGGCATTAACGGAGCTTTAGGATGTAACACATGACCACTCCACCTGTGATTTAACATCTCGGGTTCTCCAGGCAGAGCAAAACAGCACGATGGGATGCCAGACCAATATTTTGAGCAGAGAAGGAAAATAAAGGCGTGTTGTAGCACGGAAGGTGCAGGAATGCCAGCCGTGTTCATCACAGGTAATTCTGGGGCTGCATCGCTTAACTTATTAAAGAAAATATTGATCTAGTGCGAATGAAGCCAGGAGTGAATCAATTGGAATTAAACCACTCAATGGTAGGAGTTTTCTTGCTCCAGTTTTTAACTTTCTTTTGCCTTTGAAGGTTGGTAGTTGAACCTTCCCTCTGAGTAGTTTGGTACAGTAGCCAACTGAGGAATAAAACCATGATTTTTAGTCCCTCTTTTTTGGAGCATATACTTTTTACTTTTTAAAATGAGCAGAACACACACACCAAAAAAAAAAAAAAAAAAAAAAAAAAAAAAAAAAAAAAAAAAAAAAAAAAAAAAGTAGATAGCAAAGAAGTGCTAGCATATGGGATTGGGTTGGGATGGCTGGAATGCAAATGCCAGAACTACCTCCTGCAGACAGCCGAGGTGGGCAGGGTCAGCGGCCATGGTACGTGTCTTCGGGACAACTCAGACATCCCCTTCCTCTCGCTGAGCTTCCTTGGTCTGGCGGGTTGTTGTGGGTGAGGGAAGAGCTTCAGCAGGCAAACCTAGGAGGCCTCCTTGAGTGAGACCACCAGCACTGCTGATACAGACCCTCCAGGCTGCCAAAACCGCTCATTTGTGACTGCCAAAAGGCCTTTGCCGACTGCGATTCGGGTTCTCTGCCCTCTTCCTGGCATGAGAGGCTTTGACAGGTTTCCTTGCCAAAGGTCTGAAGACTGCTTGCTTATTTAAAGGGTGGCTTTCAGCGACCAAGCGCAAGGTGGTGGTCTAAGGCTTGACCGGAGAGAAATCTCCCAAATAATCTGAAACCTAAAGAACCGCTTATACCACTTTAAAAAAAGAAAAAGAAAAAAAGAAAAAAAAAAAAAAGGATTTGCTTTGAAGAGCACTCAGGTGATTGACTCATCCACGGTCGAACTTTCCAGGTCCTGAGAGTCCATGAGTAACTGTTTGGTGCTGGGGCCATCGGCTGCAGCCGTGGTGCTTCCCGTGCATAGGAAGGATGTTTTCCACCATCGAGCTCTGAGAATCCACAGTGCCTAGCAGAGAGCGGTCAGGGCCTGCCCGCCTTCCACCTCCCACAAAGGAAATTCATCCCCCAGCGTTACTGGTTTTTTTCCCTCCAGGGTCTTTGGGGTGAGCATGGGATTTTCTGGTTCAGACCGTAGTCCAGTTTAGAATAACCTCAGGTTGTTTTTAGTGTGATCAACTTCAAATATAAAGGATCCAGATGGAGACTATTTTTTACTGTACTAGTGATGATCCTACAGAGTACCTGAATTCTTGACACTGTTGTGTTTCTGTATAAATAATACATGTGCTGACTTTTTTTCATCTGATCCTATGTATAGGGCCGGTTTTATTCCTGCGACACAGCCACCCAATTTTGTGAAATAAAACAAAAAAAAATGTGGTTTTTGTACAAAGCTTCTGCCAGTTTGTCTGGAGTCTCCTTTCCCTCCCTGTGTGTTGTAGATGAGCTGAGAATTGTTAGCGTGATACGGGTCTATTTTAGGGCTGCATCTTAAGCACAATGGAGTAAATTCAAAGCCTGAGCAAGGTGGGAGACACCAGAGTAAAGCAGGTGAGCATTACCTTTGTGATGCGCTGCTTTGGAAAATGCTATTTGAGATTTAAAAAGCTTAATGAATGTGGACAGAGTAAACCAGCATTCAAGGCCTAATAGGATTGTTTCTGTTTGATTCCTGCTTTCCCGCTGTCTTGCTGTGCTAACTTGAATGATTGCTCAGGCTCCTGTTCCCAGTAGTATCACACCCTTGAAAGTGAGTGCTCTGAAGGGGCGGGTTTTAATAGAGGAGGGCTGGGCACACTGACCCGGCAGGGTCCCACCGTTCCTCTATTCCCATACCAGCTTCACTCTTAATTGTTTAATTCGGATGTTCAGATCGTTTGTGCTCTCCTGCAGGGCTCCAGAGGCTGCCAGGAGAGTTTGCCTTTTTGATTAAACTGAAACCCGAAAGCCAATCTGGATTTTATTCCAAATGATCCTTCTGCTTCACCAAGGAAAAGCCTTTTTCTGAAGGAACTAGTGACACTTCTTCCTGGGCATCCCATGTGCGTAATGCCTGCAGTCTGCAATGCCCAGAAGGAAAAGCCCAGGGCAGGAGAGGAGCATCCCCAGGTACAGAAAGCCCCATCCCCAGCTGGGATTCCTCCTCCACTGGCGTGGCAGGTCCCCAGGGCTGGGGTCTCCTGCTGAGTGCTGCCTCAGTGGGCTTAGGGCCGGGCAGGGAAGGTTGGGAGTTTTTTATGCTTTTGCACTCCTGATGCCTCCAGCAAGGCTTGTCCCTTGTGCTTGCACCCTTCCCATCCTCTAGCACGGCCAGAGATTGTCATTTTTCCTCCTCTCTTCTTGAAGACCTTTTTCTTAAAGAATGCAAAGAATAGGGTAGATTCTAGCATCAGTTTTTGAACAGGTTTTTTCTATTTATGGGCCTTTCATGCTTTGTGATCACAGGAGACAGCTGAGGCTGGGTTGTTCTCTTGACAGTAATGATGAGTGGAGTGGAGGTCTAGATGCAGTTCAGGACCCCACTTTTGATGTACAAATGTTCAGATGCCCTCAGCTGGCCCTAGTGATGGGGTGGGAGCCACTACCTAAGGCCTGAGGTGGCTCAAGGCCGCTAGGGCTTGGGGTTAATGAGAGCAAATTCCTGTTCACAGCTTTGTGATATGAATGCACTAAGCTTGAAGGCAGGTTTAGGACAGAGCTCTAAACTCCAGCTCTTCTAAACAGGCTCAGTGTTCACTCCAAAACTGCAGTGGGGTCATCCAAGACCAAGATGTCACTGAGGTAAATGGAAGCTTATATGCTTGGTGCTGAACCCGTCTGCCTCGTCCAAAAAATTGCCTGTCTCTCCTTGCCAATATGTGCTGCTGGGAGAGGTTTGTGTCTTCATCTGATACCGCTAGAGACAGCAGATCAGGCGTGCAGGATTCTTTTCTTAGTGCTGTTGCCTTGTTGGCAGGAGGAGCGATGGGGCAGTGGACCAGGAATGGGAACAGACGTTCACACCCCCTGCCTGCACTTGTCTCCACTTCCTAATAATATCCCAAAACTCCTCGTTGGCGGCTGTGTCCTGTCTGGCAATACCAGCTCCACCATGTGGTTCCTAAAAAGCTGCAATTTTTTTTTTTTTTTTCTTCTGTCTGACTTAAAGCCAAAAATGCACATTAGGACACCTAAAGAGTTTGGGGTATCCAAGTGTGTGAGTGCACGGTGTCCTCTGATGCCGTTGTTTCAATTCCTGCACCTTTCTCACGAGAAACTTGAAGGATTTTGCAAGGCTGGAAACTCCTTTTCAAGCTCTGCAGGTTTTACAGCAGTAAGGACAAGGCTGCTGAGGATAACCCCCATGGGTGTTGCCAGGCACTAGCACCCATACTAATGCCCCTCAAATCAAGGTAGGAAACGATGAGCCCCAGACAACTGGTGGCAGCACAGGTCTGGGTGACCTGCCAAGGGCCTTGCCCAGCTCTCCAGGAACAGTGTTCCTCTTTGTCTGTGTCATCTCCCACGGCTCTTGGTGCTGCCCACATGGCAATTTCCCTTTTCATTCAAACCTCCTGCTGCTGCAGGGGGTCACATTGCAGGGAGCCTTGTCAGGAGCCATCGGGCAGCAGGGTGTCCCCTGGAGGCTTCAGTGGCAAACCTAGGGGTGATGATTTGAATTCCCACCCCACCCCCAAATCCCTTATTTTCTGTCCTTCCAAGTTAAAGTGTGATAAAACCAGCCTGCTGTCCATCAAAACCAACAGCCTTTCCAGCGTGGTCCCAGGTCTCAAGCTCTGGGCTAGAAAGGTGACAATGCTAGTGGTCACCACGCATCGAGGTTGCCCACCTGTTGCTGCATGCAGGTGTTCTGGCTGACAAAGACCCAGACTGGCACCTTCCACAATGCAGGTTCAGCCCAAGTCCTGCTGGGGTCCTCCAGGGACATTTAGAAGAGCCACCCCCTTCCCTGCAGGATCCATTTCATGGAAATCCCTTGTTCCCTCCCAGCGCTGCAGACGGGGACGTTGTAACGGAGACAGGCTCAGCACTGGGAGGATACTCAGCCCAGAGATATATAATTCATCTTCCAGATGAAATACAGCCCAAGTCTTGGAAGTCATTAAATAAATACTTGTGATCTGTCCTGAGGGGTTAAGGTGTGTGGTCACCACTCCATGGCGCTGCTAGGGTTCAGCTCTTCTGCCCTCCCAAGTTGTTTTTTGGTTTTTGGTTTTTTTTTCATTTTCCATGGGGTGAAGTGGCATATTCATTCCTTTGTCCTTAAACTATGAAATAGTTGCTTTGATTTGTCCTGGTTTCCAGCAGTAATAAAAGCAAAACCTTGAAGATAAAAAGCGTGTCTGAAGGGTGTTTAGTGCCCTCTTTGCAAAGTTGCAAGTATTAAACCGGTTTCTTGAGCTAGGATGGAGTGGGGGGAAGGTGCCAGTGCTTGCAGCTGCCTTACCCCAGTCTCTAACAGTTTGATTCGTTGCTCCTTGCAGACTCTGTCAACTTTTGCAAACACTAAAGGTATTGGAACCCAAGGGTCAGGTGCTGTGCTCAGCATCCTCAGGACACAGCTCTCTGCTGGCTCTTCTCCCCAAAGCAGCTCGGGCTTCTTGTACTCAGGTATTTTTCTTAGGTTTTTTGGAAGATACCAGCTTGCTTATCCCTCTGGCCAGGCATAGAGAGGGCCCAGAGAGCTCCAGCACCTCAGGGCATGCAGAGGGTGCAGATCCCTGTGTCTCCCCCGCCCCTGCTGCTGCCAGCATCCTCCTTCCCTGAGCTGCTTGTGCAATCCTAAACTTAGCTCATGTTTTGAGGACTTGGAATGATGGCAATTTTCAGATCAGCTCGGTGGCGGGAGCAGTTTGGTGTGTGACTGATACATGGTGGGTGAATTTATTCCCTGCAGAAGGGGTTTGGGTGTTTTTGTGGGGTGTTTGAGGCTGAAGGCAGTGGGGGAGCAGGGCCTGAGGGAGCACAGAAGAGGATCAAGTTTGATTTTTAAGTTTTGCTGCTGAAGCAGGTGGTGGCTTCCTCCAGCTATTGGTGTTGCATCAGGGCTCAGCACCTCGTGCTCCATGTGGTGCCAGTCAAGGGCAAAGCTGGCCTGCTAAAACCCTGCCTTGCTGAGCTGAGCTTAACCCTGGGCTAACTGTCAAGAGTGTTTTGAGAGAGGGAAGAGCTTGCGAGTCCAGTGTGAGTGTTGCCCAAACCAGGGTGGAAAATGCCAACCTCAGCCTTGTCTGTTCAGTTCAGCATTTTCTGAAGTTGTGCTTTCTTTACACCTTTCCAATACCTGTTGAATAAAAAAATTGGAGAAGGGGGTGGTTTGAGCATCTCCAGTACCCGGGCAAGGAGGGAGGATGTCAAGAAGGGTGACAGTGGGGGGAAACAAAAGCTGATGGAGAAATACCAGCCCCAGCCCATCCTGCACCCTCCATCTCCCCCCCACCGCCATTACGCCAGGGGTTTGGCTGCAGCCTGATGCGGGTCCTGGTGGGTGGGGATGAGGAGCACGAGGCAGAGCAGGGCTGGGGGGGATCAGCAAAGGGGTTCTGGGGACCCCAAGGCAGGGTGAGATCCACGAGCTGCCAACGCTGAAGTGGGCAGAGAGGGCTTTGGGGTAAGATCCCTCCCCAGCTGTGTGTGACCAGCTCCCAGGACGGACAGATGGACAGAGCTGACACTGATTTCTTTCGGAAATGCCAAAAATGGGTTGCCAATGTGACTGCATTTCGTAGTCTCTTAATTCGCCTTAAATATTTTGAGTAACTCCCCCAGGAAAACACGCGCCTGGCAGCAGCAGACCATTCTGCCCGAGAGGAGGGAGCTGCCGCTCGAGTTCTGCGAGACTGAAGAGCTGTCACCATCCCTGTCTGTCTGTCCTGCCACCCTTCATCCAACCCTCCGCTGCTGTTTCTGCCTCTAAGGAAGGCAGACCTGAGGCAGGTTTGTAGGAAATGTGGTGAAAGCAGACTTGCAAGATGGCTCTGACACCTGTGCTGGGCTCTGCTGCCTTGTCTGGTCCTAAATTTCAGCGCAGTGATGGAGCATTAAGGCTCTGCCGCGCTTTGCCTGCTGCGTGTCCCGGGGGCGTGGGAGGGGAGAGGCTCTGAAATTCATCTCCCAGCACCGACTGTGTCCCTCCTCTCCCTGAAGCTCTGCCTGCAGAGGGTGGTGAGACCCTCGGTCCCCCCTTGCCCACACAGGTTGACTCCTGGTGGGGGGCTGATGTGGAGCCACGGGTATGGGGAGGGGAGTGGGCCCTGCACCGGGGAGGGGGGGCTCTTCCCATGCCGAAGGTGGTCTGTGGGGAAATGTGATGGGCACCATACCCCAGAACCTGGGAGAGAGCTGCCCCCTCACCCCCCGTGGATCCTGTGGGATCCAGCACAAGGTCCCTCCCCCTGCAGTGCTCAGCACCCCGGGGGGGGGGAGAGGGGGGTGTCACAGGGGTTCTCCCGGGGTGTCGATACCCCCAGGGGTTGACCACAACTGGTGGCCCAGGTGTGGGAGGAGGTTGTCCCCCACCTCAGGGTCAGGGAGGGGGGGTGCTTCTGGTTGAGGTGCCCCAGGGCTGTGAGGTGACATGGGCCAAAGCCAGACAACCCCCCCTGGAGAGGAGGACAGATCTGGGGCTCCAGGACACGGGCACAGGCTGCCACGAGGGCTGGTGGAGCCTCCAGCCCTGGTGATGGCCAGGATCCCACCAGACATGGCCCTGGGCAATCTGCTCTGGGCTTGAGCTGGCCTTGGTCTGGGTGGTCTCTGGGGGTCCCCATGAGTCCCACAGAGCTTCATGGCCTGCAGGAGTTAACTGCGGGTGTTGGAAGTTTCCGTGGGCTTAAGAAGCACCAACTACTTGAGTGTAAACCCTTCGAGCCACTGCTGCCACATGCCAGCACCCAGCCCTGGTGCTGGGGAAGGGCTTTGGGTGCAGGACGGGTGCTGCCACCCTGCCTGGGCTCCACCTCCCCTCCCCGTGTGGCTCCCTCAGCACCACCCCCCATCCCCAGGATTCTTCCCTCGGCCTCTTGCTGCCATGACGGGGACCTGGCGGAGGGTCCCCCAGCATTTGGGACCCTGATGCCTCTTCCTGACCCTTTTTCCTGGCTGTGGCAGCAGGGTGCCCCCCATCCATCCCAGCGGCCCCTCCTCTGGTCCCCTTGGAAACGCATCCAGGGGCGGAAGCACGGGGAATATTAAGCAGGTGCAGCCCCTTCAATTCCCTTTTGAGCGGGGACAGAGCGGGGCTTGTTCCTGGCATGGCAAGCGCCGTGGCTGCTGAGGGGAGAGGAGACCCCCGGCCCCACTGATCCCTCCCCCCAGTCCCTACACACACCACACCCCCCCCCATGGCTGCATGGGACGAGGCCAAGGGGTACACGGTGGAT